TTCCATATTTCGATAGGCTTCTTGGGCTCCGAGATGACCCTGAGGAATCCCATGACGTCTTTCAGAGAGGTGCCGAAAAGGGTGCCCCGACTATGGCTACAAAGGCTTCCAAGAGCACGGGTAGAGAGTCTCAAGAGGGCCCCCAGACAAGGTCCTTTTCGAGGTTATGCAGTATCCCGTTCCTTTGGGCAATGGCCTCCAGCATGGCTCTAACCTGTGAGGGGGGCTTTCGGCTTCTTCCCTTGGTGGCTTGCTGAAGTCCTGAGACCGCCCTGGAAGATTCCTGGGTCGATCTTGCGGATTTCTCGAAGCCGACCCTGAAGGTCTTCGCCTTTCAGTGGGCGGTCCTGGGCTGGCTTGAGGCCGCCCGCGGGGCGGCCGCGGAGTTGCCTGGCGTTTTTTACGAACGCCACCCCGAAGATCAATTTGGCGTTGAGGCGGTACCTTTGAAGTTAATGCGGGTCTGTTGACCAGCATGCGCCGAGGTGCGCCGATGGACTCTCTGGGGCCCAACCTTGGATTCGATGGGTCGTTCGTATTTCGTTGGTCTTGGTTGGCTCGTACTTTACTTTCTGATCCACGATGTGTTCCGTAGCTCGCGGTTCGTGATTTGTGGCGTGATTTATGGCTCGTGGCCCTTGGCGTGTTTCGTGATTCGTGATTGGCGGTGTGCTTCGTGGCACGTGGTTTGACGCTGGACACGGCTCGTGGTTCGTTGTGCAGAGCGTGAGTCGTGGTCCGTGGCATGGTTCGCGGCTCGTGATTCCCTGGTTCGTGGCCCGCTGTTCGTGGCGATATCCGTCTTATTGGTTCGTGGAGTGAATTGTAGTTGATAGTTTGTGGGTGCGGATTCGTAGTTTGTAGTTCGTGTTGTGGTTCGTTGTTCTTCAGATCGGCTTGCCCACAGGAGTTCTTAGTCCGTTCGCAAGGACCAGATCCATCTGGCTCGCTCCGCCGGCTTTTTTGGCCTTGTACGATCGTGGCTATCCCCATGGCTTTCTAGCTATCTCCATTGCGTCGTGGCTACAGAGTAGAGTCAACTAGATGTCCTGGCTGCCTCCAAGGCTTTGTGCGTATCCGAACGTAGTCATTCGCTGTCCCAATCGATTCCTTGGAGTTCAAAGGAGTCCTAGGGGTATTTCAACGGAGCCGTATGCCGTCCACTGGAATGCAACGGAGTCGTATGGGTATTCCGGTGGAGTCATACTGAGTCCGACGGAGTCCAAGGTAGACCACTGGACTCCAATGCAGTCCAATGGAGTCCGATGGCGTCCTACGGAGTCCTATGGACTCCAATGAAGTCCAATGGAGGCCATTGTAGTCCTAAGGAGTCCCATGGAGTCCAATGGAATCATATCGGTATTTTCAATGAGGTCCAACGGAGTCCAGTGACGTTCTCGGGGGTCCAATGGAGTCCAACGGAGACCAATGAAGCCCCATGGAGTCCCATGGTGTCCATTGGAGGCCAACCTCTTAGATAATTTCCCGTTTGGGTCAACGCTCATAGAACACCTTGATTCGATTAGGGCAGATTTTTGCATAGTGTTGTCGTAGAGTAGAGTGGGGTTGGGCATGGTATGAGTAGGGTCTGGTAGAGTAGAGTAGAAAGGAGTGGAGCAGAGCACAGCAGAGTAGGACGCACCGATGCAGAGTAGAGAGGCGCAACGCACATCAGCGCAGAAGGGGAGTATGGCCTGCACATCTGCACACAAGACTTCAGAAGCTCGCTGCGCCTCGCTTCGAGGTCTGGGCATTCTAAAGCTCTTCGTGCGCTGCGTGCGAGGTCGAGTCGTGAGCCTGCGAGCTCCTGGCGTCGGCGACGCGCAGGCCTTGGGGTCGGCGACGCGCGGCGGGCGAAGGGACGTGGGACGCCTCCTCCTCCTCCTCCTCCTCCTCGACGTGCGCGCGCGCCAGGGGGCGCGCGCGCCAGGGCCCGGGCAAAGGGGGGGAACTCTGCGACGGTGATGGCCGATCGGGTGGAGGGGCCGGCAACGGTGACGGGTTGGCCCTGGACGTCGATCGTTGCAGAGGGGGGGCACCGGTCGGAGAGGCAGGGTCGGGAAGGTCGGTTTTTGAATTCCAAAGACTAGTTTTGAATTCAAGAAATTGGTGTTTGCATTCAGAAAATTGGTGGTTGCATTCAGAATACCGGTTTCTTGAATTCAAGAATGGGTTTTTTTTGAATTCAAGAAACTGGTTTTTGAATTCAGAAAACTGGTTTTGAAATCAAAAAACCGGTTTCTTGAATTCCACAGGTGGGTTTTTGAATTCAGAAGAGTGGTTTTTGAATTCAGAAAATTGTTTTTTGTATAGAAAGCAATGCAGCTTAACTCGCAGACGATATGGAAGGCGCGGTGCGCTGGGTAAAGCGGGGGCTATGCTTGTTAGGCAGGGTAGGGAAGGTCACGGCCAGATTCGAACTGCAGAGGCCCTGGAAGGTCTCTGGGGTCGAGTGGGGGCAAGGGTTGTCAGTATCATTTAACCGATCCCCATCCCCATCCCCATCCACATCTCGAGCCCCGCCGTCTCACCGCCCCAGTTGGGGATATGCCCCTCGAAACCCGAAGAGAGCAGCCTATATCCCCATCCAGGGGGGTAAATCGGCCAGTGGGGCCCAGCCCACGCCGCTGGGGATGGGGATCGGTTAACCGATGCTCAAGTTAGGAAGGCCAAGGTATTTGGAATAGAGTTTGGGCTAGGGTTCGGGAGGCAGGGTCGGGAAGGCCGCGGTTAGCTTCGAATGCAGAGGTCGTGGAAGGTCTCTGGGGTAGAGTTGGGGGCATGGTTGGGGAGGCAGGGTCGGGAAGGTCACGGGCAGCGTCAAACTGTAGATGGGCCAGACTAAGTGCACAGGCGAGGCTGGATAGGGTCGGAGGGAGGTGAAGTGTTTGGGGGGCTCTCTTGGGGTGAACCTGGGGCCGAGGTCCTACCGGTATGCGTGAGCAGGCGAGAAATGGGTCGGGTGTGACGCACTGGTGTGGAAGCGCTGGCTGGCTAAGTGGGTTCTGCGCGGGGGTCCAGAACGTGAGGTATTGGATGTCTCATGGTCCATCCTGAGCCTTGTGGGCCGTCTCGCGGCGCTCTTGGGCCCGTTTAGAGCACTTCTGGGCCGCCTGGGAGCGCAGCAAGCGCGGTCAGGGCAGAACTGTGCAATTTCCGACACGTGGCAAGACATCGAAGAACGTGTGCTCGCGAAGCCTTCTCGGGGGCGTCTCGGAGCGTCCAGGGGTCTCGGGGTCTCTTGGAGCCTTCTGGGGGCTCCTGGGGGCATCTTGAAGGCATCGTGTGAGCCTCTTGGAGGCCTCATGGGGGCGTTCCCAGGCGTCTTGGGGCCTCTCGGGGGTATCCTCGGAGCCGGTAGGTGTCTCTTGGGGTATCTTGGGGGCCTCTTCGGTGCCTCTTGGGGCCCATCTTGAGCCCTCAGCAGCCCATCGGGAGCGAAAAGGCGAGAAGGCGAAAATCAATGATCTCCCTGATGCGTCTCTGATATAAGGGGGCTTGTCAGCGGTCTCCAGGAGAGCCTGCTGAGCTTTTTGGGTGCCTCTTGGGGCAGTCGTAGACCGTATGCAGACCATCTCAAGCCATCTTCGAGCGCTCTTCGGCTGCCTGGGTTCATTTGGAGCGCTCCTGAGCTGGCTCAGAGCCGTCTTGCACCTCTCCTGGGCTGTCCTGGGACCGTTCCGGATACTCTCTTGGGCCCTTTTTTGTCGTCCTGGGGGCCCTCTTGGGTCGTTGTGGCCATTGTGGCGCTCATCCAAGGAGTTGGGGGCATCCCTTATCATACGAAGGACAAACGGAATTGACATTCGCATTTTTCAGACATGTGCACCATTCGTAGCTATATGTATGTATGTATATATGTATGTCTGTATGTCTGTCTGTCTGTCTGTCTGCCTGCCTGTCTGTCTGTCTGTCTGTCTGTCTGTCTGTCTGTCGGTATGTAATGTATGCATGTATGCATGTATGTATGTATGTATGTATGTATGTATGTACGTACGTATGTATGTATGTATGTATGTATGTATGTATGTATGTATGTATGTATGTATGTATGTATATAGGTATGTATGTATGTATGTATGTATGTAATGTAATGTAATGTAATGTAATGTAATGTAATGTAATGTAATGCAATGCAATGCAATGCAATGCAATGCAATGTAATGTAATGTAATGTAATGCAATGTAATGTAATGTAATGTAATATAATGTAATGTAATGCAATGTAATGTATGTATGTATGTATGCATGCATGCATGCATGCATGCATACATGTATGTATGTATGTATGTATGTATGTATGCATGTATGTGTGTATGTATGTATGTATGTATGTATGTATGTATGTATGTATGTATGTATGTATGTATGTATGTATGTATGTATGTATGTATGTATATTTGTATGTATTTATGTATGCACATACGCACGTACGTATATATGTATGTATGTATGTATGTATGCATGCATGCATGCATGTCTGTCTGTCTGTCTGTCTGTCTGTCTGTATGCATGTCTGTCTGTCTGTCTGTCTGTCTGTCTGTCTGTATGTATGTATGTATGTATGTATGTATGTAGGTATAGTCTATGAGCCGAGTAGGGTGTACTAGGATCGAGTGCAGCTGAGTGTTGTAACACACATGCGTGTGGCGTAGGGTAGGGATTAATATAGCAGGGTCAATTATGAAAATCATGAAATATGGTAGCGAAGGGAGAGTCGAGTAGAGCATATAAGAGTATACTAGATACTTGTATCGCAGAACAGGTCTGAGCTAAGCAGAGTCGATTAGAGTGGAATCGCAGAGTACACTAGAGTAGCCTCTACGTGTTCAAGCTGAGTTTAGTATATTGCTATAGCACTTGCACGCCCAACATTGCCGCAATTGGGTCCCGCCAGCTCCCATCTTGAGTCGACGCTTGCATATACTTATCATTAGGGTTCGCCTGGGGTAGGCCTCAAGGGGCGCGCCAACGTTGCAGGACTGTGCGTTCACGCTTGCATGTCTCTTACATCCTCGAAGGGCACTGACCTGTATGGCTCGCACGACGACATGCGGACGCTCTTCAGGGTGGACGAGTTGACGCTGCGGCAGGGCCAGAAGATGGCTGTTGTCGGGGCGAACGGCTGCGGGAAGTCTACCCTCATCCGGGCGCTCGGCGGCAAGGCCAGTCTCGCTGGCGGCAAGATCGAAGTAGATCCAGGCGTCCAGGTCTGCATCGTCGAGCAGGCCACGAAGTATGACCCAGAGCAGCTGGTGCTGGACGCCGTGTACGCCAATGCGAACTCACCCCAGGCGGCGGCCACGCGTCGATACAAAGCCGCCATGGCCCTGGGCGAGGATCTGCAGGAGGCGCTCGATCTGATGGAGGCGACGCAGGCGTGGGGCTGGGAGGACGAAGCAACCAACGTGATGGCCCAGCTGGGCCTCGGCGAGCTGCTCGCTCGGCCGATGGGGCAGCTGTCGGGCGGCGAGGAGCGCCGCGTGGCCCTGGCCAGCGCGCTTGTGGACCTGGACGCCATCGACCTGCTCATACTGGACGAGCCCACCAACCACCTCAGCACGGAGGGCTGCGACTGGCTGCAGGACAGGCTCCAGGCCGCCGAGGATCTCAGCCTCGTGCTCGTCACCCACGACCGCTACTTCCTGGACGAGGTGTGCAACGAGGTCCTGGAGATCGACGGCCTGGGGGCCACGTACACCCACCAGGGAGGCTGGAACAACTTCCTGGAGGGCCGTGCCGAGAGGTGGAAAGAGAAGCAGGCCCAGGTGGACGCCGCGAAGGTGCAGCTCAAGCGCGCCAAGGAGTGGATGGCGCGGGGCGTTCGTGGGCGGGGCACCCGAAGCAAGAAGGGGGTCGCCGGGTTCCTCGACGCGAAGGAGAGAGCAGCCGCCGTCGTCGCCGCTGACGACGGCGCGCCCGACCTACTGGGGCAGGGCTACGCTGGCTTCAAGCAAGGCGGGAAGGATTACGCCATGGTAGGTCTCAAAAACGTGACGGTGACAGTGCCGCGCCGAGGCAACATCCTCGACCAGGTGACCATGCAGTTCGCCAAGGGCAGCAAGGTCGGCATCGTGGGGCCGAACGGCGCGGGCAAGTCCACCTTCTTGCGCACGCTGTCGGGCGACCAGGAGCTCGCTGGGGGCGAGCTTGTCTTCGGCGACGCGGTACGCATGGGCTTTCTCACGCAGGAGCCGCCCGTTTTCCCCGATCCGAGACAGCGGGTCATGCAGTTCGTCTCGGAGATAGCAGACGAGGCCCGGGCTCTTCCTATGTCAGGGCTCGGGGGCCCAGAGCCATGCAGAGAGCAAAGGCCAGGCCGCAAGCACGTCTTGGCGATCAGCCTTCCTTTCGATGAAATGCGAATGGCAGTAGATGTGTAAATGTACCCCCCGATTCCAGACAGTGCTTGCGCTGAGGGTCTCTTCCTCGTGTTCCAGGTGGTTGGCAGGCGCTGCCCAGTTTTCGCCAGGTCGCCGCCTCGTCGCCGCCTCGTCGCCGCCTCGTGCGCTGGCTGGCGCTTCCAGGTTGTCGCCCAGTCACCTCCTGGCCGCCCCCCGTCGCCGCCTCGCGGCCGCCCCGCGGCCGCCCCTGCGCGTGGGCTGTCGCATTCCGGTTTCCGACTCGCCGCCGGCCGTGGGTGCCGAAGCCCGTCTGCGAGTGGCCCCAGAAGCTGCGAGTTGTCAAAATCCGTCGGGCCTTCATGCTTTCCCACAACCCTCGTCACAATTAACCTCAAAAAGGTCTGACGTGGTTGAACTGCTTGTCGGAAGATCTGGGGCCGAGTATCGATGAGTGCGGGGTACTTGCATGCGCCGCCCCTCCAATGTCGGTCGACGTCAAACTTTCGAGTCAACTTCGGTCAGACTATCTTTGCCCTCGCCCCGACATTGAAGGGGCGGCGTGTCGACATTAAGGGGCGCGCCGACATCGACATGACGTGCCAGCAACTGTTGAGGTTAATTTTGACGAGGGTAGCAGTAGCGTGCTTGCACTCAGATGCTCGTGCTTTTCTCTCTGACGGAATTTCCCACGTTGCCGCCCTCTGGCCGCCTCGCGGCCGCCTCGTGCGCCGGGCGGGTCCGGAGAGGTTGCGGCACATGGCCGCCCGTTGACCTCCTCGCGGCCGCCTCGTGCGCTGTGTGGGTACGGAGAGGTTGCGGCACATGGCCGCCCGTTGGCCTCCTCGCGGCCGCCTCGTGCGCAGTGTGGGTACGGAAAGGTTGTGTCACATGGCCGCTGTTTGGCCTCCTCGGTGCCGCCTCGTGCGCCGGGTGGGTACGGAAAGGTTGCGCCACATGGACGCGTTTTGGCCTCCTCGTTGCCGCCTCGTGCGCTGTGTGGGTACGGAAAGGTTGCGCCACATGGCCGCCCTTTGGCCTCCTCGTTGCCGCCTCGTGCCCTGTGTGGGTACGGGAAAGTTGCGCCACATGGACGCGTTTTGGCCTCCTCGTTGCCGCCTCGTGCGCTGTGTGGGTACAGAAAAGTTGCCCCACATGGCCGCTGTTTGGCCTCCTCGTTGCCGCCTCGTGCGCTGTGTGGGTACGGGAAAGTTGCGCCACATGGCCGCTGTTTGGCTTCCTCGCGGCCGCCTCGTGCGCTGGGTGGGTACGGAAAGGTTGCGCCACATGGCCGCCTGTTGGCCTCCTCGCGGCCGCCTCGTGCGCCGAGTGGGTACGGAAAGGTTGCGCCACATGGCCGCTGTTTGACCTCCTTGTTGCCGCCTCGTGCGCTGTGTGGGTACGGGAAGGTTGCGCCAGATGGCCGCCCTTTGGCCTCCTCGTTGCCGCCTTGTGCGCTGTGTGGGTCCGGAGAGGTTTCGCCACGTTGCCGCCCGTAGCCGCCTCGTTGCCGCCTCGTGGGCTTGGTAGGTCCGGAGAGTTTTCGTCACGTTGCCGCCATTCAGCGTTTCGTTGCCGTCTCTAGCTTGCACCGTCTAGACTGCACCACAGAGCCTGCACTACATAGCTTGCACCACATAGCTTGCACATTCACAGTGCAATAATTCATTGCTCAAGGCCCACACTGGCTACCATGTTTTTCCCAACCATCCTGTGGTGTTGGGTCCTCGTTTTGAAGAGACGGTGTCCCGCGTTCCTATCCTATCCTCTCCTCTCCTATCCTCCTCCCCTCCGCCCTCCTTCCCACGCCTCTCACTCCTCCCTCCTCCGTGCGTTTCACCCACCCAGTACAGCGTTTCGTGGCCCTATAGGGAGCCCCACCGAAGGTCCCAGTGGGACCGCCCGCATGCGTCCCGCACGCCCAGTACAGCGTTGCGTGGCCCCCTCCTCCGTGTTCCTTGCGTTTCACCCACCCAGTACAGCGCTTCGTGGCCCCATAGGGAGCCCCACCGGAGGTCCCAGTGGGACCGCCCGCATGCGTCCCGCACGCCCAGTATAGCGTTTCGTGGCCCCCACAGGGAACCCAACCGAAGGTCCCAGTGGGACCGCCCGCGTGCGTCCCGCACGTCTGGGCGATCTTGGGGGCCTCTTGGGCGATCTTGGGGGCCTCTTGGGCCGTCTGGAGCCGTCGGAATGCCGAGAAGAAGCAAATTCCCAAATCCTTCAAAAACCTTAGGAAAATCAATGATTTTGGCCTCTTCGGGCCCTCCTGGAGGACCTCTTGGAGGCCTCTTGGGCCGTCTGGGAGGCCTCTGGGGGGCCTCTTGGGCCGTCTTGGGCCGTCTTGGCTTCTCTTGGGCCGTCTTGGAGGCCGTCTTGGACCATCTTGGGCGGACTTGGAGGCAATCTTGGGCCATCTTCGTGATTTTTTGAGGATGTCCCGAGCGAAACGGCCGTTTCAGGGAGGATTATTTCTGGAGTTTGTGCTCCTGGAAGGGCCTCCCGGGACCCCAGCGGGACGGGCCGAAACCCACTGGGAGAGTTCTTTTGGAAAAAAACCAAAACCAAAACCGAAATCGTCAAGCACGCCAGGCACCCCTGCGATGAATCGTCAGGGGGCGGCGGATCTGAGACGCCTACGGCGAATCACCGCCGCCCCCTGCCTTTGTGGAAGCGCCTATGCGGCCGAACGTTGAGGCCAGACCTGCCAAGCCATCGGACCACGTGTTCCCCGAATCGGTTTGGAAAGCCTTCGGGGAACGCGTGGGCGTCTTGAAGGTCATCTTGGCCGTCTTGGAGGCCTCTTGGGCGATCTTTCGGCGATCTTTGGGGGCTCTTGGGCCGTCTCGGGCCGTCGGAAAAACAATAGGAACATGAATGTTTTTGGCCTCTTCTGGCCTTCCTGGAGGCCCTCTTGGGGGCCTCTGGGGCCCTTTTGGGCCAGCTTCGAGCCAACTTCGGCCATCTTGGTGGGTTGCTGGCACGTCTGACGCCGTCGGGAGCCGTCTGGGGGGCCTTTCTGGGCCCACGGGGGACCCTCTTGGGGCGCTTCGGGGCCGTCTTGGAGGCCATCTTGGGCGTCTTGGAGGCCATCTTGGGCGTGTTGGAGGCCTCTTGGGCCGTCTTGGGACCCTCTTGGGGCCATCTTGGAGGCCACTTGGGCCGTCATGGGGCCCTCGTGGGGGCCTCTTGGGCGATCTTGGGGGCCTCTTGGGCCGTCTTGGGCCGTCGGAATGCCGAGAAGAAACACATTCCAAAATCCTTCGAAAACCAAAGGAAAATCAATGATTTGGGCCTCTTCGGGCCCTCCTGGAGGACCTCTTGGAGGCCTCTTGGGCCGTCTGGGAGGCCTCTGGGGGGCCTCTTGAGCCGTCTGGGGCCCTCTTGGACTCTCTTGGGCCGTCGTGGAGGCCGTCTTGGACCATCTTGGGCGGACTCGGAGGCCATCTTGGAGCATCTTGGAGGCCATCCTGGGCCATCTTGGCCACCAAGCCATCGGACCATGTGTTCCCCGAATCGGTTTGGAAAGCCTTCGGGGAACACGTGGGCGTCTTGAAGGTCATCTTGGCCGTCTTGGAGGCCTCTTGGGCGATCTTTCGGCGATCTTTGGGGGCTCTTGGGCCGTCTCGGGCCGTCGGAAGGCCGAAAAGAAGGACATGTCAAATTCCGGCAAAAACCCAACTTCTGGCAATCCTGGAGGCCCTCTTGGGGGCCTCTGGGGCCCTTTTGGGCCAGCTTCGAGCCAACTTCGGCCATCTTGGTGGGTTCCTGGCACGTCTGACGCCGTCGAGAGCCGTCTGGGGGGCCTTTCTGGGCCCACGGGGGACCCTCTTGGGGCGCTTCGGGGCCGTCTTGGAGGCCATCTTGGGCGTCTTGGAGGCCATCTTGGGCGTGTTGGAGGCCTCTTGGGCCGTCTTGGGGCCCTCTTGGGGCCATCTTGGAGGCCACTTGGGCCGTCATGGTGGGCCTCTTGGGCCGTCTGGAGCCGTCGGAATGCCGAGAAGAAGCAAATTCCCAAATCCTTCAAAAACCTAAGGAACATCAATGATTTTGGCCTCTTCGGGCCCTCTTGGAGGCCTCTTGGGCCGTCTGAGAAGCCTCCTTCCCACGCCTCTCACTCCTCCCTCCTCCGTGCGTTTCACCCACCCAGTACAGCGTTTCGTGGCCCTATAGGGAGCCCCACCGAAGGTCCCAGTGGGACCGCCCGCATGCGTCCCGCACGCCCAGTACAGCGTTGCGTGGCCCCCTCCTCCGTGTTCCTTGCGTTTCACCCACCCAGTACAGCGCTTCGTGGCCCCATAGGGAGCCCCACTGGAGGTCCCAGTGGGACCGCCCGCATGCGTCCCGCACGCCCAGTACAGCGTTTCGTGGCCCCCACAGGGAACCCAACCGAAGGTCCCAGTGGGACCGCCCGCGTGCGTCCCGCACGTGGGGGCGATCTTGGGGGCCTCTTGGGCGATCTTGGGGGCCTCTTGGGCCGTCTGGAGCCGTCGGAATGCCGAGAAGAAGCAAATTCCCAAATCCTTCAAAAACCTTAGGAAAATCAATGATTTTGGCCTCTTCGGGCCCTCCTGGAGGATCTCTTGGAGGCCTCTTGGGCCGTCTGGGAGGCCTCTCGGGGGCCTCTTGGGCCGTCTTGGGCCGTCTTGGACTCTCTGAGGCCGTCTTGGAGGCCGCCTTGGACCATCTTGGGCGGACTTGGAGGCCATCTTGGACCATCTTGGAGGCCATCTTGGGCCATCTTGGCCATCTTGGAGGCCATCTTGGAGCCGTCTTGGGCAGAAACTTGGGGAAGTGAGGTCCGTGGAAAAAATCCCGGGACCCCGGCGGGACGGGCCGAAACCCACTGGGAGAGTTCTTTGGGAAAAAGAACCAAAACCAAAACCGATAGGATTCGGCACGCCGGGCACCCCTTTGCTGAAGCAGAAGGGCCCTTTTGGGCCAGCTTCGAGCCAGCTTCGGCCATCTTGGTGGGTTCCTGGCACGTCTGACGCCGTCGGGAGCCGTCTGGGGGGCCTTTCTGGGCCAACGGGGGGCCCTCTTGGGGCGCTTCGGGGCCGTCTTGGAGGCCATCTTGGGCGTCTTGGAGGCCATCTTGGCCGTGTTGGAGGCCTCTTGGGCCGTCTTGGGGCCCTCTTGGGGCCATCTTGGAGGCCACTTGGGCCGTCATGGGGCCCTCTTGGGGGCCTCTTGGGCGATCTTGGGGGCCTCTTGGGCCGTCTTGAGCCGTCGGAATGCCGAGAAGAAGCACATTCCAAAATCCTTCAAAAACCTAAGGAACATCAATGATTTTGGCCTCTTCGGGCCCTCCTGGAGGACCTCTTGGAGGCCTCTTGGGCCGTCTGGGAGGCCTCTGGGGGGCCTCTTGAGCCGTATGGGGCCCTCTTGGACTCTCTTGGGCCGTCTTGGAGGCCGTCTTGGACCATCTTGGGCGAACTTGGAGGCCATCTTGGACCATCTTGGAGGCCATCTTGGGCCATCTTGGAGCCATCTTGGAGGCCATCTTGGAGCCGTCTTGGGCAGAAACTTGGGGAAGTGAGGTCCGTGGAAAAAATCCCGGGACCCCGGCGGGACGGGCCGAAACCCACTGGGAGAGTTCTTTTGGAAAAGAACCAAAACCAAAACCGACAGGATTCAGCACACCGGGCACCCCTTTGCTAAAGCAGAAGGGGGCGGCGGATCTAGCGGCCTTCGGCCTATCCCGCCACCGTGCCTGCGTTGTGGGTCTGAGACTTCGTGGATGTTCGTCGGGATTTTCTCGAGGCCTCTCGGTGGCCTCCTGAAGGGCAGTTTTGAGGCCTTTGGGGGCTGGTTTGGGGCATCTTGGGGTCTTTTTTGGGTCTCTTGGGGGCCTCTCGAGGCCTCGTGGGGGCCTCTTGGGGGCCTCTTGGGGCCTCCTGGGCGCCTCTTGGGGCGGAAGGCTTGGATTTCGGGTTCGTGTTCCCCTCTTAGGGTCGTTTTGGGGCTCCCTTGGGTCGTCTTGGGCGTCTCTTGGGCGCCTCTTGGGCCGTCTGGGGGCCCTCTTGGGCCGTCTTTGGGCTCTCTTGGGGGCCCCTGGGGCCGTCTTCGGGCGGTCTTGGGGGCCTCTTGGGACATCTTGGAGCGTCGGGAGCTCGAACAGCGGAGAATCCCCCAAAACTTGCAACCGAAGGAAAATCAATGATGCTTGCCTCTCGGGGCCCTCTTGGGAATGCTCTTGGGGCTCTCTTTGGGCCTCTTGGAGGCTTCTTCGGCCGTCTGTCTTTGGGGCCATCTTGGGCGTCTTGGATCGATTGTCCAGCGATGCTGGGCCTTCCTGGACCGACTGGGCGGCCTCTTGAGGCCTTCTTGGCTCGTCTTGAAGCCCCTTGGCCACGAACAAATCATGCGGGAAGCCGCGACCGGGCCCAGTCAGGCACGCGAGCAGCCCGAGAAGATCTGAGAACTTGGGGTCCCTTGAAGAGAAGTCTCAGGATCGAGGACAGGCTTCAGGGATTCGGCAAAGGACCTGGGTGCACTCCAGCTCGTGCCTCAAGGCACGGCGGATCCAGCCTGAGTGTAGTGATAAATTCTTGACGCTTCGCGCACCCCCGCCTCTCACCCACCCGCCCACGCCACGCGAGGGTCTCATAAGGACAGGGCGGCCAGTTGCCACATGGCCCTCTGCCTCGCATCGTTGTGTGGCTAGCCGCCCCCTGGCGCTGGAGCCCCCTGATGGACGCCTCTCTCCCGCCGGCCTGGTGATGTCAGTTCCCACCTGCCCAGTCCGCCCTCCCGCGCAATACGCGGTCCTCCGTGCGGCGTCCACGACGTAACCCCTGGCCAGGCTCCCTGGTGCAGTCGCCCCCTGGGGCCTGGTCCACTCTCGGTTCGCTGCCCGAGTCTGGCGTCGACTTCGGGGTTTACGAGATGTGTCGCGGAGTGGTGCAGCCTTCCAGCAGACACCGTGCTTCCCGGCGCCGTGTCCTCGCCTACCTGGCATGTTCCGCGCCGCAGCTGCGGCTCTGGCCCTTGGCGCCCTGTGGCGACATGGTCAGTCTGTACCTGGTCACTCCTGTCCAGGGTACCTGAGCTCGAATGCGTGGCTTCCAGCTCTGCGTTCCTGGTGGCGCGCCGCTTTCTGGGTCGCCCGGCAGTGGAAGCGCCCTCGCCAGTGTGATGCGTGGTCGCAGGTACAGAGCCGATCAGGCGTTCCTGGCGTGCAGGACCTAATTCCATCTTTGGCGTCTTTCAGCCTCAGACTTGCACGTTGCATCAGCCTCCCTGGGCGTCTGCAGACCTCCCAGCCAGCTCCCCCCAGCAGCAGCCCCCCAGCAGCCGCTTCTGAGCGCTGGGCCGGCCGTCTCGCGCGTCGCTCGGTAGCTAATTAGGCTGGCCCGTGCCCCATACCCCCCTCTCGGCGACTGGTTTACGCTACGCGTCTGCCCGCGACCAAAAAAATACCCCCGCCTCTGGTCTCGCCCTTGGAATGGTTGCACTTCAGCCGCCTGGCACACCTGGCCTGGCACCTCTTGCAGCTCTGCCTTCAGTCCCCAGCGTCGCTCCTCGGCGTCCCTCGGCGGCGGCTTCGGCGGCCGTTAGTTCGCGCGCTTAGGTAGTTGGGTTTGGCTCGTAGCCCGGGCTGACTTCGGACGCCGCCTGCGCTTCCGCCTGCGGCCGCGACGGAAAAGTACCCCCGCCTCCATCCGCAGCGATGCCCAGGCGAGGTGCCCTGAAATCCCAGGAGCAAGCAGCGGAACCAAGAGCGTGGGTGGGGGGAGGGCGGCCGTCGCGCCGAAGCTCGGGGTCAGCGTGCACGCTCTCGGGGCCATCCCGGGCCCCAGCCCTCCTCCTCCTCCTCCTCCTCCTCCTCCTCCTCCTCCTCCTCCTCCTCCTCCTCCTCCTCCTCCTCCTCCTCCTCCTCCTCCCACCCCCCTCCTCCTCCTCCTCCTCCTCCTCCTCCTCCTCCTCGAGGCCGCGTACCTCAGCGACGCGACCGCGAAGCCGGGGGACACCCGGGAGGCGGCCGCCGCGCGCCTGCTTGCCTCGGTCAACTTCGACCGTGCCCGGTGGCAGACGGAGGTGGACATGCTGTCCGGCGGCGAGCGCCGCAGGCTCCAACTGCTGCGGGTGCTGTCGCAGCGCCCCAACGTGCTGCTCCTGGACGAGCCGACCAACGACCTGGACGCCGTGACCGTGGACTCGCTGGAGCAGCTGCTGAAGAGTTTCGCCGGGACCGTCATCGTGGTGAGCCACGACCGCTCCCTGCTGGACGGGGTGTGCAACATGCACGTCGTGTTCTTCAAGGACAGCGGCAGGCCTCGGCTGTGGTCTGGCACCTATGCGGAGCTGCGAGAGTGGCAGGAGGAGCAGGCCAAGGAAGAGAGGAGCAAGTCCAGACAGGCGGCGGCGGCGGCCGCCGCAGTAGCGGCAGCCCCGAAGGCGCCAGCGATCAGCCAGAAGGAGCTGAAAGACGCGCGGCGGAGATTCAACTCGTTGGAGAAGGACGGCCAGCGAAATCAGCAGTGAGGGTGAGGATGAGGATGAGGATGAGGACGAGGATCAGGATCAGGATGAATTGGAGGAGGAGGAGGAAGGAGGAGGAGGAGGAGGAGGCGGAAGAGGAGGAGAAGGAGGAGGAGGAGGAGGAGGAGGATGAGGATGAGGAGGGGGAGGATTGGGAAGGGGACGAGAAGGAAGATACCTGAGGATATTGAGTATGTTGAGCTCTTTGTAACATCGGTGACGCCCCATATAGTTAGCCGTGTGCTGGCATTCTATGGATTCTGGTCACCACCGTCGCGGGGCGAAGGAGATCGAGTCCACAGAGGAGCTGCTGGCGGAAGTCGACAGCGACATACAGGAGCACGCCAGCGACGCCGAGAAGATCGTGGAGCTCTGCGCGAGGCGGGAGGAGCTCGGCAAGAGGCAGGCGGAGCTCTACGAGCGCTGGGAGGAGCTCGCAGAGCTCGTGGCGTAGCTTCCGCGGCTGCGCGGCCACGGTCGCAGCTCGCCCCCGGCGGCCCCCCGGGGGGGGGGCGCTGCGCGTGGCGCCGGCGGCCGGCGCCAGCAGCCCCGAGGCCCAGGCCGAGCCGCTGCGGGTCCAGCGCCCTCGCGCGGGGTGCGCCGCCGCTCGTCGGGCGCGTTTCCACGACTCGCAGGGTGCCTGCGCGCAGGCTCGGAGAAGAAGAAACAAAGCGCCATGAGCATGAGCTTTTGGTGTGCTCCGCGCGGACCTCTTGGATCCGCGCTGGGGCCCCCCCCGGCGGCGCCTCTGGCGCCGCCCCCGGCGCGCTCCGCGCGCCAGGGAGGGGGTTATGGCGTTTCGTTTCTTCTACAAACGTTCGAGAGTCACATGTTCGCCTTGTGATGTTCCAACCTACTTTAGCCTTGATCACTGGAAAGAATTGCGAGCGCCAAGAAAGTACCAAGATTGGAGGGTTTGGTTTGCACCTGCTGGGCCCTGGGAGGCGATGCTCGCTCGACACTTCGCCTTCGTGTCGGGGGTAGATTGTCTCGATACCTTCCTGGGTGCTTGAATTCGTTTCTGGGATGTGGTCCTTAAGTACGATGGGAACAAGACAATGTTCGCCTCGCTAGCATGGATCGTGAGTCCCCCGCGGCGGATCCAGGCCACCTGTGAGCAGCCACTCTGTGAGTCGTGGAGCGCGCCTCCTCCTCCTCGTCCTCCCTCCTCCTCCCTCCTCCTCCCTCCTCCCTCCTCCTCCTCCTCCTCCTCCTCCTCCCTCCTCCTCCTCCTCCTCCTCCTCTCCCTCCTCCTCCTCCTCCTCCTCCTCCTCCTCCTCCTCCTCCTCCTCCCTCCTCCCTCCTCCCTCCTCCCCCTCCCTCCTCCTCCTACTCCTCCTCCTCCTCCTCCTCCTCCTCACCCCCCTCCCTCCCCCCCCCTCCCTCCCTCCCCCCCTCCCTCCCTCCCTCTCCTCCTCGGCCTCCCCTCCGGAGCGGGGAAGCGGCGGGCGGGCGGGGTCCAGGGAGGCCGCCCGCGCCCCCCCCCCCCGGGACTGGCCCCGCGGGGGGGGGGGGCGGCGACCGCGCGGGCCCTCCTCGAGGAGAGGTCCCGGCCGGCCGAGGGGCGCGCCCGCCCTTTGAGGTCCCTGGAAGCGGCAGGTTTTTTGTTGCAGCTGCTGCTGCTGCTGTCGCTGTTGCTGTTGTTGTTGAACACTATTACTTCTAAAGAATTATTATTGTTGGACCCCCTGGTGCACGCCCCCCGCCCAAAACCTAGGCCGCAGCTACATTTTCATCATTTTTCTGCGAAAGCTTCAGAAAAGTGGATTACCCCCGGATCCGGTTTTTTGTTGACGCTCGTTTTCCCTTGCAAAAAACAATAGAAAATGAAAATTCTTGTTCTTAGTTGATCAAATTTCAAGAATCCCTTGCAAAAAATAAGGTAAAGTGGACATTCGCGCTCGCAAGACGAAATCCTTCCAAAACCTTAGGTTTCGTAGCGATTTTAACATAAAAACATCAAAAACCCAATGGTTTTTTAAGAAAAAATTGTCAAAATGTCCTTCCGCGCGCTCTTGCGGATTCATAGGAAACACACCACTTTTTAAACATTTCTGTCAAAAGGGTCTTTGCGTGCTACTTCTTCAGGTGCTTTGAACTTCTCCAACAACGGTTGCGCGCCTGCGAGGGCCACCATCCCTTGCAAAAAATGAGACGAAGTGCACATGCGCGCGGCCGCCGCGCGCGCATGTCGAAATCCTGCCAAACACAATGGGTTTTCAATAATTTCAAGATGCGATGTTCAGAAAACATATGAAAACGCACTACTTTCTCACCCGAAAAATCTCGAAATCCATTCGCGGTCTCTTGATGAATCTTTAAAACCCAAGATGGCCCCAACAGGCGCGGAGTACCAGCACAGTATGGGGGGCATCGCCGAGCCCGAATGGCTGTACTTCGACGCGTACTTTTACGCGAACGCGGTATTCGGGAACTTCTCGGTATTCCAGGATGAGAGGCTTGGGAAGCCCATTGGCTACCTTGTGCGCGTATTCGACACGCTGTGCACCGCAGCAGGTATCGTCGCCTGGAAAGCCAACCTCTTCGTCCACCCGGGCCAGTGGGTGTATCGCAGTATGCGGTATTTGCTCGGTCAGTTCGCTATTCCCATTCATGCGGAGATCGTATCCGGCCTCTCCTACAGGGCCCTGGCCACCTTGGACGTATTCATTGCGTACCACGCGGCCTTCATGGGTACGGACCCGCAGAAAATGGCCCTTTGGAACGTATCCCCTGAGGTCGGCACAGAGATCACGTATCCGCGTCAAGACCAGTGGTGGTGGTTGCCCGTATGGCGGTCGTATGGTCAGAGCGACGAGCTTCCGAACATGCTCGATTACCAGGCCTTGCCACCGCAGGTCCACAACGTGCTCGCGGTAGCACTGCCGTATGCAAGCACCGGCCTTCCCGCCAGCAGGCGTATCGGCAATCTCATTGGGCATCTGGGACCGCACGGGTATCAGCCAGGCCCGCACGTGTATCAGCCAGGCAGCCGGGCACCCACGCGCCCGCTCCGCGCCATCGCAGACGACGATGCGTCGCGCCTTTAGTATGCTTCTGGATGCGAAGACCATTCGGTTGAGTATACCCCTACGTGTGACTGGACCTGTTTGCGAAAGCAGGAGAAAGTATGGCACCCCTTTGTGTCCAGAGCCGCGCCGTCTGCGTTCTTCCTTTCTCGCTTCTCTCCTTTCCTCCTTGTCCTGCTCCTCCTCCCCCTCTTCCGCCTTGGAGCCGTATTGGAACTGTCGATGGCCATCTCCCTTTCTCCCTCGCATGTCTGCTTGTACATACGTATAATTTCAGAACTTACCGTGCATGCGATCGTTTACAACATGGTGGACCGTGCGTATGTCACGAACCTTGTATACATGTGTTTCTCTCCCTCCGTCTGGCTGTGCACGCGCGCGTTGGGCACTGAGAGTTAGGATCATAGCGCCATGAGTCTATGAGCAATGCATGCGTCATCCTTGGGACTGTATAACATCAGTGTAACACATGTACTTCTGTAATCGCATCCCCACGAATTTGCCCCAAAAATGTGACCAACTATCTTGGCACTGCGTACCATCTCACGTGTACCGTGTACCACATCATATGTAACAGATGTGATCAACCTCTGTGGGTGTGTACCCCACGCCAGTGTAGTAGCCAGGGTCGTCCGCACGCCACGAAGTGAAGAGTCCCAACGTCATAGGGCGGGAAGCTGGGTGTGGGTGGTCTCGAAGAGTCGTTTAGGATATTTTGGTTAGAGCTTTGAACGTCCCCCCAAGAAGTGGGGTCCCGCGTTACCGTCGCAGAAACCATGGCAATCTGGATAACACTTAGCGTTTTCGGGAAATGATTGTTGTTGTTGTTGTATGTTGTTGTTGTTGTTGTTGTTGTTTGAAACATGTATTACTTCTAAAGAATAATTATTGTTGGGACCCCTGGTGCGCGGCCCCCTCGCCGCGCCTAGGCCGCAGCCATGTTTTCATCATTTTCGTGAGGAAGTCTCTGGCAAAACGGGTTGGTCCGGATCCGGTTGTTTTGTTACGGGCGGTTTTCCCTTGCAAAAAAAAAGGCAAAGTGGACATTTCTTGTTCTAACATAACAAACTTCAAGAATCCCTGGCAAAAAATAAGGTAAAGTGGACATTCGCGCGCGCAAGACGAAATCCTTCCAAAACCTTAGTTTTCGTAGCGATTTTAACATAAAAACATCAAAAAATAATGGTTTTTCAAAAAAAAAAAAAAAGTGTCGAAATTTCATCCCGCGCGCTCTTGCGGATTTTTGTTGCCGTTGAACATGCGATTGATTCCCCACATGTCGGTCAACGGGCTTTTGCGAGCCTTTTCACGGCTTCGAAACTTCTCCAACACGGTTGCGCACGCTGCCAGGGCTACATCCCTGTCAATAAATACCACAACAAGTCACTGTACCCATGCGCCAGTGTAGTAGCCACGGTCGTCCGCAAGCCACGAAGTGAAGTGTCCGAACGTCATAGGGCGGGAAGCTGGGTGTGGGTGGTGGCGAAGAGTCGTTTGGAAATGTGGTAGAGCTTGAACCGGCCCCCCCACAAAGTGGGGGTATTGGCGGGCGTCGTATGAAAACCCTGGCACTGGTGAGAACGGAGTGTCCCCACGTGCTATTAATTGTTGAAAATTATTCCTTCTAAAGAATTATTATTGTGGGAACCCCTGGTGGCGCACCTCTGGTGCCGCCCTAGGCCGCAGCTCTCCTAGCTTCTACATGTTTCCCTCATTTTTTTTCCGAAAGCTTCAGAAAAAGTGGATGAAGCTTCCTCTCCGGATCCGGGTTTTTTGTTGACGATTGGACGCCTCGTTTTCCCTTGCAAAAAACAATAGAAAATGAAAATTCTTGTTTTTTACTTGATCAAATTGCAAGAATCCCTCTGCAAAAAATAAGGTAAAGTGGACATTCGTGCGCGCAAGTCGAAATCCTTCCAAAACCTTAGGTTTCGTAGCGATTTTAACATAAAAACATCAAAAACCCAATGGTTTTCTCAGAAAAAATTGTCAAAATGTCCTTCCGCGCGCTCTTGCGGATTCCTAGGAAACCCACCAGATTTTAAACATTTCTGTTAAAAGGGCCTTAGCGAGGAACCTTTTCAGGTGCTTCGACCTTCTGCAACAACGGTTGCGAGCCTACGAGGGCCACCATCCCTTGCAAAAAATGACACGAAGTGCACATGCGCGCGGCCGCCGCGCGCGCGTGCCGAAATCCTGCAAAACATAATGTGATTTCAATAATTTCAAGATGCGATGTTCCGAAAACATATGCAAACGCAAGACTTTCTCATCCGAAAAATATCAAAATCCACCCGCGGGCTCTTCATGAATCTTTAAAACCCAAGATGGCCCCAAGAGGCGCTCAAGATGGCCCCAAGAGGCGCCCATGAGGCCGCAAGAGGCGCCCAAGATGGTCCCAAGAGGCCCCAAGAGGACTCCAAGAGGCCCCCAAGAGGTTCCAAAGAGGCTCCAAATTGGCTCCAAGAGGCCCCCAAGATGGCCCCAGGAGGCGTCCAAGCGGCTCCAAGAGTCCTCCGGGAGGATCCAATAAGCCCCCAAGAGGCCCCAACATGCTTTCAAGAAGCCCCCCAAAGCCTCTCAAGAGGACCCCATGCGGCGCCAGGAGGCTTCCCCCCTTTCCCCAAGAGGACCCCCAGCGGCCCCAGGAGGCTTCCCCCCTTCCTCTCACGCTCATATCCGTAGCCATCTCGGATCAAGGTATCGCCTGTGTTCTTGGATCATGGCTTTGACGGCGAAAGACCTTCACGAGCAGTATGGCGCAGAGCTGTCCCGGCCTCCCTTGGCCGACTGCGAGAGTGCGTTTTATTTGCATCAGGCGCTCGCGGCAAAGGGTATCAATGCCAGTCACCAGGCGTGCAAGACTTGGTGGGCCAAGTATCGGGTTGTGACTGGCAAGGTCAGTATTTCTAGCGCCAAGGAGCTGGAGGAGCAGCACGGGTCTGCCATCCGCCACCTGGGCATCGAGTATAATACCGCTTACAAATAATGCCGGGCGCTCCGACAGTTGGATCCACCACTGTATGTGCCAGATAGGGTCGCAACGGCGTGGCTACTGCAGTATTCATCGAAAGACACGCTTGTCCAAGTGCAGAACGCTGGCCATCTGGAGAGCTGGTATGGAGAACGTATTCGCAAAGACATGCCCGAGGGGACCACTGACGGGGCCGTCTTGAAGCAGTGGCTCCTTGGACATTTATCTGTATCTGCTAACGCCAGGGTATGCCAGAAGTGGCTCAGCACGGAGTGGGGCGCCAAGGGGGCACTCAACACTGCCCAAGCTGTGGAGGAATGTATGGGCGAGCGTCTTTCGCTCTCGCTCTTTCTCTGCTTCATATCTATCATACGTAACACATCTACTTGTGTAATCGCCTTCCCAGGAATTTGCCTCAAAAATGTGACCAACTATCTTGGCACTGCGTACCATCTCACGTGTACCGTGTACCACATCTTCTCAGGTTGCCTCGCACATGTGACGAATCTCTTTCTATCTCTCTCTCCACTGGCTCTCTGTCTTGCTCTCTCTCTCTCTCTCTCTCTCTCTCTCTCTCTCTCTCTCTCTCTCTGTCTCTCTGTACTATGTATGTCATACGCAACAAATGCACCATGCGGGGCACATGCGGGGCCCAAACAAGTGATCAACCTCTGCGGGTGTGTACTCCACGCCAGTGTAGTCTCCACGATCGTCCGCGCGCCACGAAGTGAAGTGTCCTGACGTCATAGGGCGGGAAGCTGGGTGTGGGTGGTTCCCGAGAGTCGTGTGGATGTTTGGTAGAGCTTGCATTGCCCCCCCACGAAGTGTGGGTATTGGCTGGCGTCGCATGAAAACCCTGGCACTGGGGAGAACACTGAGCGTTCGGGTAAAATGATTGTTGTTGTTGTTGTTGTTGTTGTTGTTGTTGTTGTTGTTGTTGCTGTTGCTGTTGCTGTTGCTGTTGCTGTTGCTGTTGCTGTTGCTGTTGCTGCTGTTATTGTGGTTATTGTTGTTAATTTTCATTTCTGAAGAATAATTATGATTGATCCCCCCCCCACCGGTGCATACTGTTTTTTCTCAATGAAAATGTGCCCCTCGACGCTCGCACCCTGTTTTTTGACAGGAAAAGTCTTCCTGCTCAAACTGGCCCCCTGGCCCCCGGGTTACAACAACAACGGCTCCCGCTTGAGACTTCCTTACAATTTAGCCAGGATCCCCGCTCCCGCCCGAGACTTCCTCGCACTTTATTCAGGAATCGTGCTCTCGCTTGGGACTTCCTTATAATTTATTCAGGAATCGCTCTGCCGGCGCTCTGGAGTCGCGCTCTCGCTGGAGTCTTGCTTGCAATTTATTGAAGAATGGCCTTGCGCTGGAATTTCTTGCAATTTGCCCAAGCGCCGCGCTCCCGACACCCACGCACCCAGGAGTCGCGCCCGTTGTGGCCCCATGTGCATGCCCGTCGTGGCTCCGCTGTCGCCATTGTGTCCCCCTCACTGTCCTACGTGGCCCAGTTGCTACCCTCAGTGGCCCCATAGTTGCCTTCTGTGGCCCCTTTTATCTGCCCTTCGTGGCCCCCGCTCGTTCGCGCTCTTCGTGGCCCCATACGCATTCCCTTCGTGTCCCCGCTGTCGCCCTTCGTGGCCTACTTCGTGCCCTTCGTGGCCCTGCTGTCGTTCTCTCTCGCTCTCGCTTTCGGTCGGCGTCGCCGTCGTCGTCGTCGTCGCCGTCGTCTTCGACGTCGTCGTCGTCGTCGTCGTCGACGACGTCGTCGTCGTCGTCGTGGTCGGTCCCCTGTCCGTCCCTCTTGGGGTCGGGTCGACGGTCCGCGGCCGCCCCGCCGATCAGCACTGCCGCTGGCCAGGCCGACGGTCCGCGGCCGCCCCGCCGCTGGCCTGCAGGGAAGAAAGGCATACCCCCCAGAAGGGGCTCGATCGAAGACGAAGAGGGCGGGTATCAAGGGTTTGGAAAATACGCATTATTGGACACTGGAGCATACAAGGGCGAACAGTCTTAAAATGATTGTTGTTGTTGTGGTTGTTGTTGTTGCTGCTGTTGTTGTGGTTCTTATTGTGGTTGTTGTTGTTGTTGTGGTTGTTGTTGTGGTTGTTGTTGTTGCTGTTGTTGTGGTTGTTGTTGTTGTTGCTGTTGTTGTTGCTGTTGTTGTTGCTGTTGTTGTTGTTGCTGTTGTGGTTGTTGTTGCTGCTGTTGTTGTGGTTGTTGTTGTTGTTGTGGTTGTTGTTGTTGCTGTTGTTGTTGTTGTGGTTGTTGCTGTTGCTGTTGTTGTCGTCGTTGTTATTGCTGTTGTTGCTGCTGTTGTTGAACTCTCATTTTTGAAGAATAATTATTGTTGATCCCCCCCGTCCGGTGCACATGTTTTTTTTCGATTGAAGTGCCCTTCCGGGGCTCGCACCTTGTTTTTATCAGGGAAAGTCTTGAGGGTCAAACTGTGTCTTTGGTCCCCAGTTTACAACAACAACAACAACAACGGTTCCCGATTGAGATTTAGCCAGGACCCCCGCTCCCGCCTGAGACTTCCTTGCGTTTTATTCAGGAATCGCGCTCTCGCTTGGGACTTTCTTAGAATTTATCCTCCCGGCGCTCTGGAGTCGCGCTCTCGCTGGAGACTTGCTTGCAATTTGCTGAAGAATAGCGCCCTTGCGTTGGAATTTCTTGCAATTTACTCAAGCGCCGCGCTCCCGACACCCAGGCACCCAGGAGTCGCGCTCACGCTTAGGACTCCCTCACAGATTACATCGGAATCGTGATTTCGCTGCCCTGCGTGGCCCCGTTGCAGCCCTTCGTGGCCCCCTCGCTTTGTTTCGTGGCCCCGTTGCAGCCCTTCGTGGCCTCCTCGCTGCCCTTCGTGGCCCCGTTGCAACCCCTCGTGGCCTCCTCGCTGCCCTTCGTGGCCCCGTTGCAGTCCTTCGTGGCCCCCTCGCTGCCTTTCGTGGCCCCCTCGCTGCCCTTCGTGGCCCCGTCGCAGCCCTTCGTGGCCCCGTTGCAGCCCTTCGTGGCCCCCTCGCTGCCTTTCGTGGCCCCGTTGCATCCCTTCGTGGCCCCCTCGCTGTCCTTCGTGGCCCCGTATATGTATGCCCTTCGTGGCCCCCACTCGTTCGCGCCCGTGGTGGCCCCATATGCATCTGTCCTACGTGGCCCAGTTGCTACCCTCAGTGGCCCCATAGTTGCCTTCTGTGGCCCCGCATTATCTGCCCTTCGAGGCCCCCGTTCGTTCGCGCTTTTCGTGGCCCCATACGCATTCCCTTCGTGTCCCCGCTGTTGCCCTTCGTGGCCTACTTCGTGTCCTTGTGGCCCTGCTGTCGTTCTCTTTCGCTCTCGCTTTCGCTCGCCGTCGTCGTCGCCGTCGTCGTCGTCGTC